AGCCTGGCTAGAAGGTGTAGAGGTATACAACGCCAGGTATTCAGGGAACAGAAAGAGAAGGAAGATATAGAGAGACGAGAAACTGAGCAATGAAGAAAAACAAAAGGGGAAAAAGAGGAAAAAGAAAACAAATTAAAAAACAAAACAAAACAAGAAAGGCCCCCAAAGAAACAGAAAAAAAAAAAAAAAAACGATGAATAAAGAAATGTCCTCAGGGATCCCTCTGCACGTCTGTGGAAGCCGTAGGGGAGTCTCCCTGCCACGCAGCTCAGCCTGGCCAGAAAGGGCTCCCAACTCAAGAAGAGGGAAAGAAAACAAACAAACAATTCAAAACAAACAAACGAACAAAAGCCCCGGGATCCCACTAGCGCGGGAGCCCAAATCGGGAAGCAGCTCCACACTCGAACGGAGCTCCGCAGCCCCTAAGCAAAGATGGTGCACGGAGCCAGGTACTTGATTGAAGGGAGGCGGAGGTGGCGAGAGGCAAGTAAGAAACCAAAAGAAGCAGGAAAAATTAAAAAAAAGCAACACTAGCAGCCAACAAATGGCACTCAGAGAGCCAGCTAGTGCGGGCTGGTGTTTCTGGACCAGAGACTGTGTCTATGGGAAGCAGAGGGGGCCAAGTGTGGGTGAAGAAGGGTAGAGAGCAGGAAAGTGTATATCACAAATTACCGGAGCTCTGCAGCCCCTCAGGAAGGAGCAAAGATGGCACACAGAGCGAGGTACTCGAGCGAAAGGAGGGGGAGGTGGGGAGAGGCAAGGAAGAAATAAAAAGAAGCGGGAAAAAAAGCGACACCAGCAGCCAACAAATGGCACTCAGAGAGCCACCTGTTCGGGTGTGTGGAATCCAAGCATCCGCTGTTTCCCGGTGAATAGACTGTGGCCGCAGGAAGCAGAGGCCGAGTCGGGGTGAAGAAGGGTGGGGGGTGGGAAAGCATATATCGCCAATTACCAGTTGTTTTGTCCCCCACTGGAAGCTCCGTGAGGCTGCTTTCTCATACCCCCTGTTTGCTGGTGTCCGATAGGAGTCCAAGATGATGGATCCGTGCTGCGTTAGCTGGTAGGGGACCTCTGCATGAATCTCTCCTGGCTCTCCGTTCTCTGTTAGTTTTCTCACTCCATTTGGTGCTTAGCTGAGTTCTTTATCTCTTCATTTGGTGTTTTAGGGTTTCAGGATTGTTGTATTCTCTGTTCGGCTTAGTTTTTCGGATCTTTGCTGTGGAGGGACGGCGTGGTGCTTCTGCCTAGAGCGCCATTTTGCCGGAACTCCCATTACTAATCATTTTGATCAAAGATTCTATAGAAGAATGCTAGTCAAAAGGGGGAAAACACAGAACACAATTTCAAATTTTCATTGAATCCAGACTTTCTGGAGCCATAGAGGCTGGATGAACTCCTGAAACTATTGCCCTTACATAATCTTTAAACCTTAAACCAAAAATACCCCTGAAGTCTTCTTAAAACCAAATGATAGTTTAGCCTAACTAGTAAAGAAGGTCTGCCTCGAGCATTGTGCTTTTTCAAGATCTATATGGGATCAAACTGACAACAGTAACTTGAAAGATTAGATACAAAACTTAGGAGACAGTGAGTTTATGCTAATGGGGGAAGAACAACTTAGAAAAGGAGGGTGAGAATGGTTGCACAACTCAAAGAATGTAATTTTTGTCACTGAATTGTATATGTATAAACTGTTGAAATGGTGTATATTCTGCTGTGTATATTCTCAACAACAAAAAATAAAATTAAAAAAATATACTAATAAAACAAAAAACCATTGCCGACACGTCGATTCCAACTCATAGCGACCCTACATGACAGAGTAGAACTGCCCCATAGGGTTTCCAAGGAGCACCTGGTGGATTCGAACTGCTGACCTTTTGGTTAGCAACTGGAGCTTTTAATCACTGTGCCACCATATATATATACATATATAACTCTCCTCTGGCTATGATAGTGTGGACAATGTCTTGGAAGGGTCACTTTTGACCTGCTTTCTCCCTCACTCCCACATATGACTCAATCCCAAATCCTGCTGACTGTACCCCCTAAATTAGCTTGAATCTGTTTGATTCTCCCCATCTCCCCACTACCACCACCATCTCCTCCCCGCTCCCCGGACCACTGTAGTTGCCTGCTTCCTGGTCTCCCATGATTCCTCTGGCCCCTTTGCAAGGCCTTCCCCTTCCCCTTACAGCAGAGCCCAGCCCTTCTCAAACTGCAACGTGCACACCAACCACCTGGAGATCTTAAAATACAGAATCCAGTTCCCTAAGTCTGGGCTGGGGCCTGAGACTCTGCATTTCTAATCAACTCCCAGATAATGTTGATGTCCTCAGTGACCAGACTGTGCTTTCTGTAGCTGGAGGGTATTTTTTTTCCAAATAAAAGTCTGATACCGACTTGTCTCTACTTGAAACCCCTCCACTGACTGTCCAGGGCCCTCAGGGAAAGACCAAACCCTCACAGTGGCCCACAGGCCCTACATGATCTACTTCCCACCTGACTCCAGCTCCTTGCCCTCCACTCCCCCCACGTTCTCCTTCTCCCTTCTTTATTAGCGTTTATATATTGTACAAAACACCCATGAAACCCTCCCATGACCCAAGTTCTGGAACATGACCAATGACCTGAATGTATCTCTATTTTCCTCCCCCTCCCCTCCCCACTCACACCTGAGGTAACCATTCTCATATTTGTGTTTATCTTTCCCTTGCTTAAAAAAAAAGTTATTTTCACTAATGCATGGGTCTAAACATGCATGCTATTTGGTTTTGCTTTCAGATATTCTAAAAATTGCCCCACAGTGCATGCAGTTGTCTGAAACTTAATTTTTCACTCAGCATTCCTTCTGAGATGTATCTGTGTTGTGCGTAGCTGAAGTTCATTCAATTTCACTGCTGCGTAATACTCCACAGTGTGAATTAAAAAACAAAAACAAAAACTCAAACTCATTGCCATCGAATCGACTCATTATGACCCTATAGGACGGAGTAGAACTGACTCATAGGGTTTCCTAGGCTGTCATCTTTACGGGAGCAGATTGCCAGGTCTTTTCTCCCAGGGAGCAGCTGGTGAGTTCAAACCGCCCCATTTTCGGTTAGCAGCGCAGCTCTTAACCATTGCGCCACCAGGGTTCCTTGGTCTCCCATTAAAGCTCCCTAATTACACATTGGAAGCCCTGGTGGTGTAGTGGTTAAGAGCTACAGCTGCTAACTGAAAGATTGGTAGTTCAAATCTACCAGGAGCTCCTTGAAAACCCTATGGGGCAGTTCTACTCTGTCCTATAGGGCCGCTATGAGTCGGAATTGACTTGACGGTAGTGGGTTTGGTTTTGGTTTTTTTGGTAATTATACATTAATGCTGTGTGATTATTTGATGAACGTCTGTCTGTCCCAATACAATGCAAGCCTCGCAGGGGTTGCGATGCTCGCCGGTTCCCCCAGCTTCTAGTTCGGGCCTGGCACACAGTAGGCACCCAGGTAGACCGGTCGTGTGGATGTGGCTCGAGGGGCCGAGGAGGAGGCAGAGCAGGGCAGGAGTTTTCAGGGGACCGCAGGCCCTGAAGACCCTAGATCGGTCCCTGCTGCTGGGCAGGAATTCCCGGAAATGCGAGGCCAGACCCACGAGGCGGGGCTCCGGCGAGGGGCGGCGCGGGGGCGGGCCTGAGAGCGGTGGCGGGCAAGCTAGAGGCCGGCAGGACACAAGCGGTTCGGCACAGTTGGGACGATTGTGGCGGCCCGCGGTCTTTGTGGGCCCTTGGGGTGGCGGATCTGCTACGAACCCGTTGGAGACCCACTGATCTTTGCCGAGGGAATAGCTTCGGGGAGCACGCTTGGCACCATGTACCAGACGCCCGCCTTCAACAAACCCAAAGTGAGCTCTCGGGGCTCGGGGTCTGGGGACCTGGGGGCTCTAGCGACTTGCTGGGCCGGGGGACTTGGGGGGCCCTCCGCAACCACACCCCGGAAGCGAATGGGAGCTCCTGCAGGCGCTTTCTTCCCTTGGCTCAGGCCCTCGCCCTCCTGCAGGCTGGTTAATGAGGGCCAATGAAGCAGGGAGGGTCCAGAGCCCGGGGGCGCCCCTAGCCGGCCTCCAGTTCTGGTTCTGCTCCTGACTTGGGCCCCCTGGGTCTCAGTTTCACTGTCTGTCAAATGGGCATCCTAGCAACGCAGGCGTGGAACAGCTGTGTGAGTCTGGGCTGGGAGCTTCACCTCTCTGAACCTCAGCTGTAAAATGGGGCCCTAATCTGTGCGCTCCTTGTGGTGATGGAAGCAACTTTATACATCAACATTAGCATAGTCTCTGAGCGCCAGGGAGCCCAGGTTTGTGGATCCGCTAGTGGGAAGAACCGGGAGGGATGGCAGCAGGGCGTCGCCCTCTGCAGGCTGGGCCAGAAGGGCTGGGCGGGCTCTGGGCCCTGGGCCCTGGCAGGGTTCACTCGGGGATGAGATAAGGCCACTCGCCCCAAGGGAGAACCCCCTCATTCCTCCTCTCACCAGCTGTGGTGTCTTGGGAAACTGTGGGGTCAGGAAAGGTCCGTGTCAATATGGTGCGCTTCAGGGCAGCCTAGGATTCGCAGTTCAAGGAGGGAAGAGGCCCAGGAGTCCGCCAAACAGAGTAGTCAACCCACAGGGTCTGAAACTGGGGGAAGGGGGGAGTGAGCTGCCATCAGCCTCAATTTACCCTTCTGAGAAACAGATGTGTGCATGATGATGGCTGACATCACAAAAGTGTTGGTGAGAATTGTGTGTGTGTGTTTGTGTGTGTGTGTAAAAGTGCTCCAAGGAGGGTCAGGCCTGGCATGGCCTCCACTGCTGATGCTCCCACCCCAGGCCAGATGCTCAGCTAGACTCTGCCAGGTGCTGCCAGTTGCTCTGCCGGACGCTCTCCTGCCCCCTCCCGCCATGCCTCCTTCACACCTTGTCCTATTGTGTTTTCCTTTAAACCTTTTTTTGTTGTTGTTTTTATTTAATGTTTCTGGATTCCCTCTGCCCTTGGACCGAGGAACCACCTTCCTCAATGTGAATTCTAAGACAGTGGCAAGGCCTCATGATTGGGGGTGAAATAGGAGTTGTGGACAGAAATAATAGGCAACACCCATATATTTTTAAAAAAAAAGAACAGTTGCCATAGAGTCGATTCCACTCATGGCAACCCAATGTGTTGCAGAATACTTGGGTGTAATCTTTATGGAAGAAGATCGCCAGGCCTTTCTTCCAAGGCACCTCTGAGTAAGTTCGCCCTGCTAACCTTTTGGTTAGTAGTCATGCGAGCACTTAACTGTGTGCACCACCCAGGTACCCCAGCAGTGCTATAGAACTTGCTATATGTGCCAATCCGATCCTTGTAACACTTCTATAGCAACATTAGGAGGCGGGGAAACTAAACCCAAATCCACTGCCATCAAGTCGATTCCAACTCCTAGCGACCCATTGCATTTCCAAGGCTGTAATCCTTACGGAAGCAGACTGCCACATCTTTCTCCCGTGGAGCAGCTGAGGGGTTCGAACCACCAAACTTCTGGTTAGCAACCGAGCTTTTTAACCACTGCGCCACCAGGGCTCCACAAGATGGGGAGCTATCATTATATCCCTATTTTTTGGTCTCATCCAATCCTCTCATCTGATTCAAGCCTCCAGGTCATTGCCTCCTCTGTGCCTCAGTTTCCACACCTGTGGAGTGGTACCCTGTCTGCTGAGCCAGGTGGTGCCTGAGAGTGGAAGGGGAGGGTCACCTGCTACGTATGTGAGTGTGATCAATTTTATATTATTGTGAGGAGGGAATTTGCCTGAGCTGGCAGGGAGCAGGAGTCTCAGAGCCACTGTGACCAGAGATAACTCCCTACCTTCCCATGGGTGGGGCAGATAACAATTATTAGTATTAATAGCTGAACCTTATCGAGTATTCATTGCTCCGTGCCAGGCACTGTTCTAAACATATTACCTGCATTCATTTGATCCTGGCAACAGTCTTGTGAGGTAGATTGTGTTATCTTCATTTTACAGAGGAAGAAACTGAGGCACAGAGAAGCTGATTAGGCCCAAGGTCACAACTAGAAAGTAGCCAGGCTGGGATCTGAACCTAGGGGAGCTGGCTTCAACATCCCTTGCCCCTAACCAGCTTCCTTGAACTACCTTTGCAGAAGGCTTCAGGCTTCAGGTGTCAGTGCCCCAGGTGCAGGCCTCCCTGGGACAGGGGCTTTTACTGGGTTCTTTGGCTTCTCATACCTACCACCAGGTGAGGCCCAGGACCTGACCAGATTTAAGAAGGCAGAGCAGACCACTGCTTCTCATACTTCAGTGTGCACTCCCATCACCTAACTTAAAGTTCAGACTCTGATTCGGAAGGTCTGAGTAGGGCCTGAGATGCTGCCTGTCTTCATTGCTGTCATGGATTGAGTTATGTCCCCCCAAAAATGTGTGTATCAATTTGGCTGGGTCAAGATTCCCAGTATTGTATGATTGTGTACCATTCTGTAATCTGATGTGATTTCCTTATGTGTTGTAAACTCAGTCACTATGATGGAATAAGATGGATTAGCGGCAGTTACACTAATGAGGTGTACAAGATTAGATAGTGTCTTAAGCCAATCTCTTTTGAGATATGATAGAGAGAAGCAAGCAGAGACACATGGGAACCTCATACCACCAAGAATGCAGTGCTGGGAGCAGAGCACGTCCTTTGGACTTGAGGTTCCTGCGCAGAGAGGCTCCTAGACCAAGGGAAGATTGACGACACGGACCTTCCTCCAGAGCCGGCAGAGAAAGCGTTCCCCTGGAGCTGATGTCCTGAATTTGGACTTGTAGCCTACTGGACTGTGAGAGAATAAACTTCTCTTTGTTAAAGCCATCCACTTGTGGTATTTCTGTTATAGCAGCACTAGATGACTGAGACAGTTGCCTAGAGCTGCTATAACAGAAATAGCACACATGGGTGGCTTTAACAAACGTATTTATTTTCTCACAGTTTAGGAGACCAGAAGTCTGAATTCAGGGCGCCGGCTCTAGAAGAAGGCTTTCTCTGTAGGCTCTGCAGGAAGGTTCTTGTCCCTTCTAGCTTTTACTCCTGGGTAGTCTTCATGCGGCTTGTTAGCTCTCTTCCCCCATCTCTGCTTCTCTTGCTTGCTTCTTTAATCTCTTTTATATCTCAAAAGAGATTGACTCAAGATACACCCTACACTAATCCTGCCTCATTAGCATAAAAAAGACAGCCCATTCCCAAATGGCATTATAACCACAAGCATAGAGGTTGGGATTTACAACGCATATTTTCTGGGGACACAATTCAGTCCATAACACTGTACTTCTAACAAGCTCTCAGGTGACACATCAGACTTTGAGTAGCAACGTCTTAGGTGGCTGCCCACCTGGTTTGATTGTGTGATTCCAACAAATGCTTCCTGAGCACCTATTGGGTGGAAAGGGTGGAGAGGAAGTTGGAGGGGTGGTCCTTACCAGTTTATTCCGGGAGAGGCAGGGCTAGTAAATTGCCTGGCACTCCAAAGGGCAATACTGTTCACAAGCCTATTGTAACAATAATAACAATGGCTGCCATGTGAGTGTTCTTGAGTCCCATGTGCCTTAGGTGATTTATCTCATAGAATCTTCTGGACAACTCGACCAGGCAAGTATCTTCTCTACTTACAGATAAAGAAACTGAGGCCCATGGAGGTCAAATGACTTGTTGAAGGCCACACAAAATCTGAGCACCTGGAAGCTGCAGATTGGAGAGTGGACTGGCCCAGGTGGAACAGCACAGCTTCGAAACTGTTCCCTCTGATGCAGAGGAGAGTTGGGTCTAAATTGCCAATGTACTTTTCTTTCTCACCTTTGAGTGTTTACTCTGTACCAGGCACTGTTCTAACTACTTTGCATCTGCTGACTCATTTAATGCTCACAACAGCCCTCTGAGGTAGGTCCTATTATTATCTCCATTTACAAATGCAGAAACAGGCTCAGAGAGGGGAAAGAACTTGCCTAAAGTCACACAGCCAGGAAGTGGCAGAGCTCGACTTGAACCCAGATTTAGCTGAAGCTGAAGCAGATTCTGTTCACTGCTTTGTTAAACTGCTGCTCCCACTTTGTACAAAAAAAGAGGGTGGGTGGGAGGAGTTAGAATCGGGGGGGCACATGGAGGCCAGGGTGGCATTGGACGTTAGAGAGATTGGGGTTGAATCCCTCCCTCGCTACTTAATGAGACCTCAGGTGGATGACTTTACCTTCCTGAACCCCAGCTTTCCTCCTCTGTAAAATGGGATGATAAAACCCATGGTAAAGCGAAGGTCACAGGAGACATCGATGTGTTGATTGACGTACCTGCTGGCCCACAGCAGGGCCCCAGGTATTCATTTCCTTGCTGGGGCTGAGGTGGACTCTGGGAAGGTTTTCCACCTGTACTGTCTTCTGCCACAAAGCCCATCACGGGCACTTGCTTGGGCTGTAGTGTTTTTCAGTTACCACTGCCACGTGTTAAACAGAAATGCTCCTGGGAAGAGCGTGCCTTAACCTGTTATGATTTACATGACAGTTGGGGAGGCCTGTGCGGGGGCATGGGAGAAATGAATGAGTTTCTGTTTCATCTAAGCCTTTCCTTTGACCAAGGCCAAACCATACCAGAGAGGGGAAGTGAGGTATCTGGTCACACCGTGAGGAGTGGAAGGCAAGGCCTCAAGATTCTGCTACATTGCACCCAACCTCAGGGTGGGCTTGGCTCAGGTGACAGGGGGACTGATGAGCTGGGAGAGACTACCTGCCTCATTGTCCTGAGGGGGTCCCTATGGTTTCCCCTGGAGTGAGGAAGGGTAGGACCTTGGCCTGACTTTGGACTTCCCTGGGAAAGTGGGGAAACCCTGGTGGTGTAGTGGTTAAGTGCTG